CCTTTCAATATTCCCATTTGAGCGTCAATACATAAATTTTCAGTCATTTCAATTCCATTGAAATGCATTTCCATTTTCAAGTGCTTCCCCTTCGATTTCCTTTAGATTTAAGCGTTTGCAGCTTCAATTTCCTTTGTTTCCAGTGTTATCATTTCATTTTCCTCGAGATTTCTCGCACTTCACTCTAGTTTAACTTGATTCCCTATTAGCCAAATTTCCAGTTTTTCACGCTTCAACTTTCAAGCATTTTAATTTCCTTGTCATTTAGATTGAAGAAGTAGCTTCTACTTTTTTTTTTGCTCTTAGGAGCTAGCACGCCTTTCTCACACATATTCACACGCCATCAATCCTTGAAAAGACTTGCTTTGTGGAAGTTTGATCACTTTGTGATTGACCTAAAATCAAAGAACAAGCTTAAGTTTATTTTTCTAATTACTTGTTTGTCAGATTTGCTTTTGATCGATTTAGATCCAACACAACTGTAGCAACTTCTTATATCCTATGTGAGAGAATCTCATAAATTTTCTCATTGTCATATGGTCTCTTTGTCATGGAAATACAAATGACTATTGTTGGGAAAGTCCCTTATATTGTTTGGAAGATGACAAAATAATAAAAAGTTGCTATTGTGTATATTGGTTGAGTAGAACAAGTGATCGATGCACAAGCCAAAATGCAGATGGTATCTTAACCAGATGAAATGATACGAGGAGTGCTCTGACTCTATCAATGGTGAGTAGTGTGGATAGACTCACTGAATTGCTAGCAAGAGCAGCTTCCTTCATTAGACAAGGTGGAAGACGTGTGACGTGCTTCTACCACTTGGATAAGAAGGCCTAGACATTGTAAGGTTGATGTAAGGAACGTTTTGTCACCATTAGCTTTGGAAGTATATAGTGGAAAGATGATTAGAAGCTGGCTAGACCATGATACAAAGTGACAAGTTAGAAAGAACATGATGTTCGTGAGGACTTGGAGGTACCATGACAAGGTGAGCAATTGAGTGAAGTCTAGATCACTAATATACTCAGGAAGACCAAAGGATAGCAGTTGCAGGCAACTTGCGTAGACTCACTGGGTTGCTAATAAAGCATATCCCTATATCAACTAAGTTGGAGTCCTGTATCATGCCTCTATCACTGGCCATGAAGGTGTTGGTCGCTTGTTCATGTCATATGAACATTAAAGGAAAGGAAGACATTTGTCAACAAGGCTTGGGATTCGTGGCAAGAGGACTGGATTTGAGTTAGAGTAGTTCTACCATATATGGGCAAGAAAACAAAGGAGACATACTTTGGATAAAAGCAAAAGCGATTGTTTTAGAACTACTGGTAGAAACAACAGCTACTTGAGGGATTTGAGTTTCAAATGGTCATATGAGGTTTAATGGTTATAAATTCAATTCGAGAGAAGTAGTAAGGTTGGTGGAAACGAACAAAATCAGTCTAATGCTTTGAGTGTTCATCTTTGCTCTGTTGTTGTTGATAGAAGATGCGTATTTCTGATTATATTCTCTATGAGGTTGCTTCTATATGTAATATGTGATTTGAGAAGTATACAAGTCTAAAAGTGGTGCTTGTGTATTGATAGTGGGATTTGGCAATTTCGGGTTAACGCGACATTTGCTACTTTGTAATGTCTCTTGATATTACTAATGAATTCCGGCCTTGTTGGTGGCTATTAGTTTGAAAAGTGAATGTAGGCTTAGTTAAAAGCCAAATCAGTATATATCTACTAGTATATCTTCTATCTCATTATCTGTTTGATAGAAGCATTTGCATGTGACTATATCTTATTTGTTTTTGCATCTATCAAAACATTAACTTGTTACATTCCACGAAAACTTGTTTAAGTTTTGAAACAACCTCTTCACCCCTCTCGAGGTTTTGTGACTAACCTCAACACCTATCGAACCAGTTTCGACCGAAAGAGATTGAGAAGAAAACATGCAATTGTTCTATGATTTTACACCATCAATAGACTAGTTTGGAATAGGGTCTGCCTAGTTCCACACCATATATGACTTAAATTCTTCCATTTTCACTAGATAGACAAAATTGCCTTTGATCATTTTTTTTATCTGTCAGGTAACCCTGGACTTTGGAGCTCCTAGGTGAGAGGCAAGTGGCGGGCCCCTACTGGGCCCACCAGGGAACCCCATAAGAAACCGCGTACCTAGAGGAGGGAAGCTTCGAACTCCTTACCTCACCATTCCCAATTAGAAATGGTGCCACTAGAAAGAGATTGCTCATGATATACACCAAAAAAATAAAAAAATTACTATTATTTGGCTGTGTTAAAAAGTTGTTCATGTTCAAAGAATCCCCAATTCTAATTGACAATTTATTCATAAATTTACTCAAAAATGTAGAGAAGAACTATATTTTTCTGAAAATTCTCTCTTCTAGAAAGATTATATTTGCAATGGGTAAATCTAAAAATAAAAATAGAAAAACTAGTGCTTTTCACATGCATAGTAACAACCCACTTAGAACAAAGAAAAGAAAAGGAAAACATATGATATTCTTAATTATGGCAACTACATATAATAGAAAAATGCAAAAACTAAAATTATGAGGAGAAATGAATAAATTTGGGGTTTACTGCTTTAATTTCAGTTGGATAATTAAGGACAAATTTGACTTTTTAGTAAAAATAGGATAGAAAATGACTATTCACACTCAATGGTTGACTTGACTTTAGTTTAGTTTTCTCTTCACTTTTTTTGTTGTTGTGAAGTGCATGTGTATCTAGTCATGGCCACGGTTCGGAACCGGCAGTTCCGGTTCGTGGCCAAGCATGAACAGAACAGGAACCTCCTGGCGCCCGGTTCCGGTTCGAGTTCGAAGCTCGAGTCGGTTCGGAACCGGTTCCGGCCGGTTCATATTTTTTTTCTTTTCTTCCTCCGTCGGCCATAGCCGGGGTCGGCGGAGGTCGCCGGCGTTGGGCGAGGGCCGCCTCGCTCGGGCCGGGCGAGGCCGGCCTCGCCAGACGTCGGGCGAGGTCGAGCCCTCGCCGCGTCGCCGAGGCTCGCCCTGGGCCGAGTTGCGAGGTCGGCCTCGCCCGACGCCGGCGGCGACCTCGAGCCTCGCCGAGATCTCGGGCGAGGCTCGCCGGCCGAGGCCGGCCTCGCCCGGTGCGAGGCGAGGTCGGCCTCGCCGACGCCGGCGAGGTCAAGCCCTCGCCAGATCTCGGGCGAGGCTCGACCTCACCGGCGTCGGGCGAGGCCGGCCTCGGCAGATTGCGAGGCGAGGTCGAGCCTCGCCGGCTGTCGGGCGAGGCCGGCCTCGCCGGTTGAGAGAGGTCGGCCTCGCCCGACGCCGGCGAGGTCGAGCCCTCGCCCGATCTGGCGAGGCCGGCCTCGCCCGACCCCGTCGAGGCCCGCAGAGTGCAGCAGTTTTTTTTTTTTTTCGGAACCGGGCCCGTAGGGCACGGGCCGGTTTCGATTCCAAACCGCCGGCCCGGTCAACGGGCCGGGCTCGGGTTTGACCGGTCCGGTTCCAGGCCGGTTCCGGGCCGAAACCGGCCCGTGGCCACCACTATGTGTATCCATACTTTTCCAATCTTGTTCTTGAAACTTTAATCCTTGTTATTTGTGATAAATTGTGAGTATTGGCTAAGTGTTTAAAAATCTAATTAATATGGTGCTTAGATTTTTTAAAGGGTTAATCCATGAAAAGCCTCAAATTGGTACATTTATGATAAATTTACCCCAAACTAATTTTTTGACCACCAAAAACCTCAAACTGGTACGCCTGTGACAAATTTACCCTCTGTTAATTTCCGTTAGATTTTACCGTCAAATTACTGAATTGGATAACACATAGCAGTTGACGGATATACCAGTTTGAGGTTTTATCCTCCGTTTGACACAGGTATATCAGTTTGTGATTGTTCGTGATATTAATCAAATTTAACGGAAATAACGGAAACTAACGGAGGGTAAATTTATCACAAGTGTACCAGCTTGGGATTTTTTGTGGTCAAAAAATTAATTTGGGATATATTTGTTACAGGTGTATCAATTTGAAATTTTTCGTGATATTAACCTTTTTTTAAATGAATAGCAAGAAATTCGTTTATTGCTCTATTTTCACCAAACTTTACGGAAAGGCTTCCACATATGCTTTTTAAGGTACAAAAGAAAAAAAAAATAAAAAAGCTACTCCACGAAGGAAGCGCAAGCCCCTTGTGTGATAATAGACACCCATGTATGATAATAGACACACACATGGACGCCAAACAATTATTCTATTTTTAATGAAACAAAAACTGAAAATTTAGATCTCTTCGAAAACATCCGATAAAGTTGGAGAGATATGGCGAAACAGAAAAAAAAAAAAATCATAGTTACATCAATTGTTCCCTTTTTGAGAAGGTTAATTACATATGAAGGTGCAAGATTCAACAACATATGAGAAATGCAAATTGGACTACACATCTGCCTACGAGTATCGTAATTGACAACTACTATTCACCTCCCTTAGGTGATATCGTTAGTCTACTTCAGACTATGCATTATGTAAATTTTTGTGCGACCACTGCCAATTAACATAGGCATTTGAATGGATTGATAAATGTATAGTCTCACAAATTTTTAAGCTAATAACAATCAAATTTTAAATTTTCTTTTAACATCATGTAAAATCTTGTAAGATCGGTTTAGTAACCCGCTGTGCCCGGGATTGACAGAAGACAGAGGCGAATTTGAGTTAAAATGCTTTAGCTTTATCAATCATGCAATTAATTAATATTATAATGCTACTTTTTAGATTTTCAAAAGATTTGTCGGACAATTTGCGGTCAAAAGAAAAATCGGACACATTAACTTTATTTTTCGCTGGTGATGCAATATAAAAAAATGAACCGTTAAACTAACGCGGACGTTCTTCTTGCTGCTTCCCTCGCTCGCTCCCTCTCTCTTCTTCTTCTTCTTCTTCTTCTTCTAAATCCACGTCTCCTTCGCCTTCTCGCAGCATTGATCGCCGATCTTGGAGGGAAGAAAGTTCTTATTCATAGCAATGTCTGGTCCACAGTGCAGCGAAAACCCTCCGACCCTCACTCCAAGTAGCGGAGGGAGACACATGGAGCAACTTGGTGGCCTCAATGCCTACGTCGTCGGCTCGCAGGACTCCAAGCTCGCGATCCTTCTTCTCTCTGACATCTTCGGTGCGTTAATCTCACGCTAGTCAAAGTTTTGCTCTTTTCTTTTCCTTCCTTTTTTGTTCTTCTTCTTGGCTTCACTATGTGAAGTGGCTTCATAATTGCCGTCTGTTAGGATTTTATTAGTGAGTTTTTGTGATGAATGGTTTCCAGGTTCTGTTTTAAGGTTGTGAGTAAAGAGACATGAGCTTAGTTTTGATCAGCAAAGGTCGACTTTGTGGTGAAAAATGACTATTTATAATCAATGGTCGACTTCAGTATAGTTTTCTCTTTTCCTTCTTTTTTGAAGTGCCTGCACATTCACACTTTTCAATCTTTTTCTTGAAAGTTTCTGTCTTTTGCCACGGTCTTGAGTCTCGATGGTAAGTTCTGGAACTCGTAATGTGGAAAGAGAATGGATTTAATCTACTTTATCGTTGGCCAAATGTGTTCGGCTCCTTGTCATGTATATATGGTATTCTAATTGATTGTGTTCTCTATGGTGCAGGGTATGAAGCTCCGAATTTTAGGTATGCATTCCATTGGAGAAGTGTGGTTGATGCTATTCTGTCATGTCTGTATCACATGGAAGTACAATGTCGAACAACAGTCTCTGGTATTTATTTATGACTTCTTCCAAAAACTCGACCATCGGCAATGCTTCCGGATATGCAGGAAACTTGCGGACAAAGTTGCAGCTGCTGGTTTCTATGCGGTTGTTCCTGACTATTTCAACGGAGATCCCTTTGCACCTGGGAATCCCGATAGGCCTTTTATGGTTTGGCTAAAAGATCATGGAACTGTATGTTTTGTTTTCTCATACATATCTGAAAGTGCTTCCGAACCTCATCTGTTGTTAGTTGGAATATAAGTGAGATATACGGATTAAATATGAATGACCTTGACCATACCAACGTGATTGTTTGGGACTATGGAATAGTTAATACATTCAACTCGGTTTTCAAACTTGGTGTCTGTTACTCATCAACACGTTAGGAACTGGTCTGTAAGTCCTTAGCCTTCTTTAGCACGCGGTAATGCAAAATCCTGCTTGATAGTACGTGTGGCCCATGGCCTTTTTTCATGTCAATTACTAGAAGAGAATGCATTGGAAGTCTTTAACTTCTATGATAATGCACATAATACACCCAAGAGACACGCAAGAGAGAAACCATGGATTAGGATTTTGCATACAAGGGAGGTAATATTGTTTTGATGGTCCTTTGTTTACTATTTTACAACCAGATTTGTTTCACGTAAGCCAATCCTCTAAGAGTAATGTCTTAATAACCAGATAAGCTAGTGACAATCTAGGTTGTTCTTTACTTATGAACAATTTAAAATGGACCCCGTCTATCAGATGTGGGACTTGAGGTGTCGTAAATTCCTTTCCTGTAACGTATTTACTTCCTTATTGGTGTTGGATCATATCCCAAATCGAATTTCCCCTATTCAATGTGGGATTCGGCCCATCTTGCCCTTGTCATAACATAAGTCTATTAGGAGCCGCACCTTATATGAGCCTCTCTCCCCAATGATCACTCCCCACTTTCATCTAATCAGCCAGGGGCCTAGTCCATCGGGGAACCACATGTATACCAGAGGAGGTCCTTGCTTTGATACCAATTTGAGAACCCACCCAAATCCACACGTGTCAAGCCTTCACAAGAGTACTCAAGTAACTAAAAAAAGTGGTGACCATTTGTGGGTTAGGTCTTACATACGAATCACTTAAGGAGACCTCTAAAGTAGATGTACGATTCGAGGATAGACTATGTTGCTGATTTGACAAAGGCAGGGAGCGACAGCTGAGATTATTGGACTCAAAATAGATGCAGCTTCTTATAAGCTTATAAAATGGGAAAATTGTCCAAACAATCATAAATCTATTGCACTTTTATCAATTCAATCTTAAATCTTTCAAGTTTGCTAATTGAGTCCTAAATCTTTATACTTCTTGCCAATTGAGTCCTAAACCTTTACACTTCTTGCCAATTGAGTCCATCTAGCTAATTTTGGCTAGAAATCACTAACGTGGACGCTGGTCGGCCATGTGGCTCTAACATGGACATTTTAAAATAATATTTTAATAATTTTCTAAATTTTTTATGGTTTTTTCTTCTTTTTTTTTTCCTTCTCTTTGTTTTTTTTTTTTTTAGGTTTTAGAGTTGGCCGACGAGGGTGGCTAGCCGACCCTCGTCGGCTATAGGCGAGGGCTGGCCGACCCTCGCCGGCTCTGGGCGAGGGCGTTGCGGCCTTCACCGGCCAAAACGAGGGCGCGCATGCCCTCTCCTTGGGCCGGTGAGGGCCGCCAAGCCCTTGCTTAGCCAGATCTTGTGAGGGCATCGCGGCCCTCGCTGGTTCTGGGCGAGGGCTTGCGCGTCCTCGCTTTGGCCGGCAAGGGCCGCGACGCCCTCGCTTAGAGCCGGTGAGGGTCGGCTGGCCCTCGCCTGTGGTGCTAGCCCTTGCCTGTGGCCAACGAGGGTCGGCCAGCCACCCTCGCCGGCCAACTCTAAAACCTAAAAGAAAAAAACAAAGAAAAGAAAAAAGAAGAAGAAAAAACCATAAAAAATTCAGAAAATTATTAAAATATTATTTAAAAATGTTTATGTTAGTGCCACATGGCTGGCCGGCATCCACGTCAGTGATTCCCGCTCAAAATTGGCTAGATGGAATTGACAAGAAGTGTAAAAGTTTATGACTCAATTGGCAAGAAGCGTAAAAGTTTAGGACTCAATTGGCAAACTTAAAAAGTTTAGGACTGAATTGGCAAAAGTGCAATATATTTAGGACTTTTTGGACAATTTTCCCCTCATAAAATGGTCTGCAAAAATGGGTCAAACCACTTTTCAAATAAAACTAACGCTGCCTGTCACAAGCCAATATGGACGAGGATGTCGATACTTTTAAGTGGACAATTTTATGACCCCCCAATTTACACATGAGATGAGAGAGACATTTTGATCGATTCATAGGATAGACCCACTCCCAAATGGGCTCCATTTTGTTTGGTTGTCAGAATTCTCCTTTTAGCGGCTTGGCTTACGCTGCTTGTTACATGGTAACTAACTTTTTTTTGGTTTGGCTGAATTTCATTTGAACTCATCAAGGTTTGGAAGGTGCGTGCTCCCTGTAGATATCTCTTTTGCCTAAAGCTTAACACCAATTTTACAGGATAAGGGATTTGAAGATACAAAACCTATAATTCAAGCTCTGGAAAGTAAAGGCATATCTAAGATAGGGGCAGCAGGCTTCTGCTGGGGCAGGTACGTGAAGCTAATCTTCAGACCACGGACCAACATATCAGACAAAAGAAATATCTCTGCATAACATTTCATCTTTTTTATCTCATAGTATTGTTCTTTATGGTGGCTTATCTTAAATTGTCTTCTCTCTTCAGCTAAGGTTGTGGTTGAGTTAGCCAAGTGTGAGCTCATCCAAGCTGCCGTGCTAGTACACCCTGCGTTTGTCACTCCTGATGATATCAAAGGTATGTCTGCCATTTTGCATCCATAGAGACTTCACAGCTTCTTGATATACATAACATGTTAAAGTATTGCAGGAAATAAGTATGTACATCAAGTTGTATTTCTTCAAGCATGAATATGCTGGAAAATGAAGGCAATAAATATTATCTGCCTATGAATAAAAGCTCTTCTTCTTGATGTTTTACGATCTAGGGCAGTCACACTTTCTCTGCATATGTAGCCTTCCTTCTTATGATCATCCGAATCCATGAATGCACGAGCTCAGTGGTCCGAAACGAGCATTGTAAAACCATTTTATTCCAGTTGCCCAGAAAAAAATGTCTATAGACCTTAATTGGCTAATTCAAGCCTGTTTAGTGTGGTCTAAAAAAGGTCTATCTAGCATTTTGTTTGTGCACTTTCATGACTAGTTTATTCATCTGACTGGTCTGTGGCAGGGGTTAAGGTTCCTATTGCTGTGCTAGGAGCTGAGATAGATCGTATGTCTCCACCTGAACTCCTCAAACAGTTTGAAGAGGTGCTCGCTGCTAAGTCCGAGGTAACAAAGCCCATTCCTTTAAATCTATGTATAAGCATGCCTTTCGATAAATCCGATATTGTTCCAGATGCTAAACTATTCGAAAAGCTGATGGTGCTATACATGTTCAACAAACGGAAGACTAGTCTAAGAAAGATAAAAGTTATTTCATTTAAGCTGGTACATCATCGAGAAATAAGTAGCATAGTCCTATCTCTCCATTATCCAACATGAAAGCCGAACATGTTAGACTCTGATTGCCATTTAAAGAGAAGATAAGACTGGGCAAAGTTTTTTGATCAGATGCAAATATCCTCCATTACTTCATTGAATTCAGGCCAGTGCAAATGTTGTAACTAAAGCTGTCGGTTTCCAACAACATCATGAAGTAATATCTTGTCTGTTAATGAGCTTTATGCCCTTGTTCGCTAGATAGTCTGTTGCCCTCTCCAAATGATGCTCAATATCATCAATCACTGTGATTTGTGGGGTCTCAATGGGCTCTTTCATACCAGGATTTTCAGATTCTAGAATTGAATCCGACTTCCTTCTGTATCGTTGGTAGTCTCCTGCATGACAAGTTTAGAAATGATTCTCTTTTATTCTTGTCATTCAGGTTGACGGATTGGTGAAGATATATCCCAAAACTTCTCATGGATGGACGATAAGATACAAGGTTGAAGACGGAGCTGCTGCGATGGAGGCTCATTCAGACATGATACAATGGTTTGTGAAGTTTGTCAAGCATGAAACCACATCGCACCTACAGTAAATTGGAAGTAGGATGTGATTTTATAGTATGATATACGAGTTGTCTGGACTATATTTCTCGTGTCTCAGATTATCTGGACTTTATGTGGTGTAATATGTAAGAGCCGTAAAGAATAATGTCAGCAGCTCTAATAATCTGTTCAATGTCAGATAATGTCAAAATTCAGTGTTTATGCACATCTTCACTTTTTCACGAAAAATCTAAGTTTTCATGCAGATCTCCACTTTTTCACAAAAAATCTATTACAAAACTATATCGCTTGAATCTCAATATACTTTCAAGTGATCAATATGAAACGAGTTGCCACGAGTTCAATTGTTAGTGAATGGATACAAAGCTAGGTTGCTTGAATCTCAATGTACTTTTAAGTATTAGATACGAGGTGAATCAGTTCGAGTGTGATTGTCGGTGATTGGATTAGACCGTCGAAGTCCTTGGGTATGACCGACTATGACCATGGTATACAGCCGAGTGCTGGAGGTTCGGTCGTTACTAATGGATCAATTGATGGCTATGGTGGAGATGTAAGTAAATTTTAAAATATATATATATATATATATATATATATATATATATATATTTATATGAGTTTTTTACGGCATGGATTGTATTTTGGAATGAAGTATTAACTTTGGAAACATCCTTCGATAATTAATTCTCCAATATGGCGCAAAACTGCGGACAACGAGAATATATATTTGATTTAGGGACAAATTTTTAGATAATGACCTAAAGCGGTTCTTTTCTCAAAAGAAAATTTAGAATAGACCTTGTTTGACATAAGGGCCTAAATGACTAATTTTGGATAAGCACCTGAACTCGTCGGCTAGCGAGCATGTGCCTCTCACATGTCATAATGGGGTATTTTCGTCCAATTTTTTTTCTTTCTTGTTCTTTTTCTTTAGCAAATACCATAATAAAAAACCTCAAATTATGCCTACTGTGATAAAGATACGTGAACTTTTTTGTGTCACCAAAAACTCTAAACTTGCCCACACAATTACCCCAAACTTTTTTGTGTCATGAAAAACCTGAACTTATACATGTTTGACATATATACCATCTATTTTAGTTCCATCCAAGGTATATTTGTCACATTGGTATAAGTTCGGAATTTTTTATGACACCAAAAAAAAAAGTTTGGGGTGTTTGTGTCACAATTGACAAGTTTAGGAATTTTTAGTGACATAAAAAAAGTTTGAAGTATTTATGTCATGATAGGCATAATTTGTGGTTTTTTGTGGTGTTAACCGTTTTTTTTTCTTTTTGAGTTAATACCATGAAAACCCCAAATTGGTACACATGTAACAAATTTACCCAAAATTAATTTTTTGACAACTAAAAGCCCCAAACTGGCACACTTGTAACAAATTTACCCTCCGTTAGTTCGGTTAAATTTACCGTCAAATTGTTGAGTTGGGTGACACATGACTATTGACGAGTGTACCAGTTTGGATTTTACCCCTCCATTTATCACAGATTTATCAATTTGTGATTTTTCGTGTATTAATCCAATTTAACGGAAGGCAAATTTGTCACAAGTGTACCAGTTTAGAGTTTTTGGTGGTCAAAAAATTAGTTCAAGGTAAATTTATTATAGGTGTACTGTTTTGGGGTTTTTCATGGTATTAATCCATTCTTTTTCCTTACCTGTTCATCATCTTCCTCCTTCTCTTTGTTTTTTTTCGTTCCGCATCAGTGCTGAGCCATATGAGCTCCGTTTTTCGCTCATTTCACGAGGACAAACCTCGATCTCCAGGATCTTGCATTGCACGGCAAATTAAAAGGGGTATCTAGAAGAGATTTGAGGAAGAGATTCGGCAACTTGGAGAAAAAAATCTGAAAATTTTGCGAAAGATCTTCTCCACCGCTTGACAGGGGTAAAAAGGAACAGAAACGAAAGAAGAGGGGGAGAATTTTCAGAGGCGGCCGAACTTCTCTCATGTGCCTCTTCCCCTCCCTGCTCTTCACGCCGAACCCACAGGGCACGAGCCTAGATACTTTTCTTTTTGGGCAGATTTGCCTCGCGTGGCCTCCTTGCCTGTTGGTCCTCTGTGGATTGGGCGAGGCCGGTCAGCGGCTGCAGCGAGTCCTGTTCAATAGCGGCGCCATCTACAGCAGTTTGCTCTCCGGTACGAATACGGTTTCCAAATCATTGGCATCATTTGCCCCACGGAAGACATCTATTGCTAAGATTTTGTGGAGAACAGGATCTTATTAGATTCATTCTTAACCCTCTTTTAAAAAAAGAACTCCACACTAGGCTCATATTTGACGTTTTTGTGACGGTTGAAAGTTTAGGATAAACGTCCAACACTGCATTTGGTGATCTGGATTTGAGCCCCGATAGAATAACAAATTATCCTATTTGGTGTTTGGCAACGTCCTCTAGACCGGATAAACCTGGACATACTTGGATAAAATGGCAGATAAAAAATCCGGGGCGGGAGGTGGGATAAGCCCAGATTGAATAAAAAAATTTCAAATAATCTTACCAAAAACCTGTTATCTTCCAACATTGAGTGATAAGAGACACATCAGATTTCGTTGGGAGACGATCGTCATCACTTCCAATCAGTCATTGCCTCCGACCACCGCCAATCGTCATTGCCTCCGACCACCGCTGATCATGTTCCAAGGGTAAAAAAGAGTATGAAGACGATGGTCGTGGCCTCCGATCGCAGGGTCGTCTCAACAAATCGTCTTTCGTTCTTGCTCGCATGTCTTCTGAAGCCTTTTCTTTCTGCTCCTCTTTTTCTTTTTCCTATTAATTTATCTATTGATACTCTAGGCTCTTCTATCCAGGTGGCGTGGCCGGCTTCGATGCTACATTGTGATGAGTTCCGGAATCTTTTGTCCAGTAACACATGAGCCAAGCGGATGAGTGACATTAAGTAGAGTTATGCTGACGGACCTCGTAAACTTAAAAAGCCAGAGAGAATTGTCTGTGCTACGTAAATAGTGTTGAGGAAAACTCCTATTGATTTTGAAGTTGACAAAACCTTCCATATTATTGTAAATCTGATACTTTTTCTGAACTAATTTATCCCAAGTATGTATATTCTGGAAGCTCAGAAGGAAGTTATTCAAATTTTACAAGCTGGCAAATACCTTATTGAAGACCCACATAATCTTAGTTCTGAAGACTCAGACGCTGAAATTATTCAGATGCAGACGAAGAAATTATTCAAATGCAGACGCAGAAGTTCTTCAGATGCAGACGCAGAATTTCTTCAGATGCAGAATTCAGAACGAGACATAATAGCTAGTAATCTGGTATGGATTTCACAGAAGGAAAGTTTTGATTGTTTCAATCTAAGGCTATAAGTGATTGACAATCAAACACTACGACAAGCATGCATTACAACGGATAAAGCTCTACTTATGGAAACCAAGATTCTGATTGTATGGGCGACCAGAATCAGCGGGATTCAGAATCTGTCATCCAACGGCTACTCAATCCTGTCTATACAAATTTGTCCAAGGTGAAGATTGGAAGATGATCCTCTGAATGCTGTCCAACGGCTAGTTTGGAAGTAGAGGAGTATTTAAGGAGATCAACAAGCAGCAGAAGGCAGTACATAATCAAGAATCATCAAGTCCAAAGTCTGAGTATACTCCGATCATTTCTCTTGTCTTTCTGAGCCATACATTAAGATCTTGAGGGACACTTTGTAAGAGTGATTGTGTGAGATAGAGAGTCCTATCATACACAAGAGTGTTAACACTCAGAAGTTGTAATTCCTCTTGATTACATAGTGAAATCCAGCCGGTAGGCTGTCAGCGTGGGAGAGTGGACGTAGGCTTACTATAAGCCGAACCACTATAAATTTGTGTGCAGTTTTTCTATCCCTTTTCTCTCACTTTATACACTGCACGTCAAGAGCACCGTCTATACAATCTGTCTTGAATCTGAATTTTATTCATACTCTTCTGTGATTTGTTTTGTTTCTACATAAATTATCAAAATTGTTTAAGATCACCTATTCACCCCCCTCTAGGTGATCCTTGCTAGCTACATCAATTGGTATCAGAGCAGGTTGCTCATTTATTAAAGTGTTTTACTTCTGAGCTAACGATCTACATGGCTAGCTTTGGTGCTCCAGGGCTCATTGAAGGACAGAGCAACAACAGACCACCATATTTCGATGGCAAGGAATATAGTGTCTGGAAGAATAAGATGAAGGCATTCATAAAGTCAATTGATCACATGCAATGGGATGTCATCATCAGAGGAGTCAATCCAAAATCTTCTGATTCAAAAGAAAAGGCAGATGCAAGCAAAGCAGCAGATCCTCCATTATCTCAAACTGAGATATCCAAAAGAGAAACCTTAGATTCCAAAGCAATTTATTCTTTATATTGTGCCTTATCTCCTATTGAATATAAAAAAATTGCTGTTTGTGAATCAGCTAAGGAAATCTGGGAAACGCTACACATTACTTATGAAGGAATAGATCGAGCCAAGGAAACTCAAATCAATCTTTTGCTTGGTCAATACGAAGCCTTCAAAATGAAGCCTGAAGAATCAGTTGCTGATATGTATGACAGGTTTGTTGACATTGTAAACGGTCTTGCATATCAAGGACAACCAGTCCCAGATGCAATGAAAGTCAACAGACTACTGAGAGGACTGACAAAGCAGTGGGATAATATCAAAACATCTCTTCGAGAAACACAAAGGATCAAGCCTCTATCAGTGAATGAGTTAATTGGAACTCTTCAATCATATGAGACTGAGAAACGGAATGAGGAGAATGAATCCAGAGGTAATAAGTCAATTGCATTAAAAACTAACATTGATTCTGATGCAGAGTCTGAAGATGAAGATGTTGACGATGAAGAACTAGCTCTCTTTATAAAGAAGTATAAGAAAATGAAGATCAAAGGAAGAAACCTCAAAGGTAAGAAGCCTTTTGAGAAGAAGAAGTCTTTCGATGAAACAGAGAGATCAAAGGATGTTATATGCTTTCACTGTAAGAAACGTCGACATATCAAGCCAAATTGTCTACTTCTGAAAAAGAAGACCAAATTTGAG